TTGTATTTCAACAGCTGTTTCTGTAAATTCTGCAACTCTGTGCAGGAGTGGAGGCTTGTTGTATCCACTCCACAAAGGGAAGCTCTGATAGAGGGGATGCTTCCTTTACATATTTTAGACATATAAATTCCCCTCCCCTGGGTAAATTTGTGAGTCATGAACAAAGCCTATTGCTAAATTATTTTCCTGTGTTACAGGATTTCAGATGGCAAACTGCATGCTTCAAAAATATTGAGAATTGAGAAAGTTACTGAAAAGAATCTAAATTTTTCATATAATTGTGCTGTGGTTAACACAGAAGCCACAGACACTAAAAGCTTCATTTTGTTTAGAAAAGGTATGGAACATGTTGATTTTGGGGGGGCTGACTCTACGTTAAGCTGTTTCTGTGATTTCATCCAGTGGCAAAACTAAGATTTCATAGGTGAAGAAACCCACCCAAGGTCATAGGAAAAGGTAGAAGGCTCCCAACTGATGGCCTTAGCGTCTCTGAGCTTCCCTTGCACAGGGGTTCTCAGGTGTCCTCTCCCCTCCCACGAGCATCAGCACTGTGGTCTGTGCACTTGGAGGGAGAGGCTGTTCAGTCTGTCCCCTTTCCTCTTCTACTGCTGTGTTTTCATTTCTTGGCCACCAGCCACCTCTCTCCATGCTAGGGCTGCCCTGTCCCTGCCCCAGAAGCTTCTGCCTTGATTATTTCTCCTCCAAATTCACAAAAATAAGCTGAAGTATAAGGTCTCTCAGCCCACCCTGTGTGCACGTGTCTGTTTGTCCATGCGTCTAGTGCATCATGAACACACTGACTTTTCAAAGATGCAGAGCCCCAGGCTGTGGCTTCTCATAGTTTGTTTAAATAACCAAAGCTGCTTACTTCATCTGAATAGCTAATTTTGCTGTAAAAATAATTGCTAAAAATTGTGTTGCATAACAAGACAAAAGTTTCACTCACACATGTGGAACTCCCAACACCATTAGAATCTATTCCTAGAAAACAAGTAAAAAAAAAAAAAAAAAGAAAAGAAAAAAAAACAAGAAAACAAACATAAAAAGCAGGCCATTGTGGTACACCCTTTATCCCAGCACTGAGGAGGCAGAGGCAGATAGATCTCTGTGAGATCAAGGCCAGCCTGGTCTACATAATGAAATCCAGGTGGGTAGGGGCTATGGGGGTTGGGGTGAGACCCTGCCCCAAAAAATAATAACAAAATACAGGTAATGTCAATGTAGATAGTCACTGCAGCATTGTATGGACTTATAAAAATTAGAATCATTATGAAGCCTGGTATATTGTAAATTATAATTTTAATGAACTAGTAAAATGCTCTTGATTTAATGAATAAATAAAGAGTGATTACCATATAATCTTAATTAAAACTTTCAAAGACAAAAACAAAACTCAGAAGGTTTCTTTTGAAAATTTATTTATTTTAATTTTACTTATGTGTTTGCCTACATATGCATATGTGTACCATGTGAGTGCTCAGCGCCTGTGGAGGCCAGAAGGGGGAGTCAGATCCCCTGGAATTGGAGCTACAGATAGTTGTGACTTGCTATGTGGGTGCTGTGAACCAAACCTGGGTCCTCTGCAAGAGCAGCCAGTGCTTTTAACCTCTGAGCCACCTTTCCAGCCCCTCGAGTTTTTTGACACTACTATGCCAACATGACCACCTCTCTGGATGAGTGCTAAGAATTACTCTATTCTTTGTACCCCTCAGTGCTATTTTCTCTTTCTCTACAGTGAGTGCAAACTGAACCAATCTGAAGAATATTACTTTTTTCTAAAGGGTACATTGTATAGAATTTTGCTAAAACCCTTAGTTCTGTGTGCCGGGAATCATGTTAATTACTCTGTGTATAGTGTTGTTCAGTCCTCCGCAAAGCAGCTACTGCAAATTAAACAGATATTTCATTTATTATTTTCACTTCCCAGATGAAGTTATTAGGAGTTAGAAGCCTCAATGATTTCTTTCTTACGATACAAACAAAATGATGTAGCCAGTGTGGAAACCCATATAATCTCTGTCTAATTTGCCCTCTCCAAAAATCATACACTGTTCAGTCCACTAACCGTGATTCATGTTTGAATCCTTTGTGCCTCACCCTAGAAAATTTCCACCCTGGAAATCTAAATCCACAGGGACAGATGGGCTGAGTTGACATGTTTTCAGTTCAGGTATCTGAGTGCGCTTGCACAGACTTATAAGTTGGAGTAGAAAAGAGCTCTACTGAAGACTAACAGTAGGAGAGTGAGTTACGGGCGAATGCGGAAACACAGGGAGGTGGCAGACATCTGGATCGGTGGCAAAGGTGAAAACGGACAGTCACAGAGATGATGGTGGGAGATGGTGGGAGATGCTGACCACACTTACTTGATTCATGATTTCATTTATCTTTTTCTTTTCTACAGAAATGGCTGATATCCCAGGCCATGTCTTCACGAGTGGAATAATTGTGGCAATTTTCACCTCAGTGGCAGTAGTGTGTTTAGTGATTATGTGTGTCATTTATAAAGTTGACTTGGTTCTATTCTACAGACACTTAGTGGAAAGAGATGAAACGTTAACAGGTACCATATTATGATAATTGGGCATCTTGTTTTGTGCTTTCATGGCTAAACTCAACAAAGAAAGCATTAATCTTCATCTAATTCTGATGATACTACTGATAATCTATAGGAGAGGTTTCCAATGGGGAAAAAATTTACTCTGTATACGGCACCCATGATGTGTTGTGAAATCTTTCCTTCTGCTTACTTGTATGTTGCCAGATGTTTCTTTCATTGTTTCATGTATGTGCCCTGTGTCCTCCTAAATGCCCCTGAAATACTTGAGCCCAGGAACTGTCTACCTTGTTGCCTTTATACACACCCCTCCAAATACCTTATATGGTGCATACACTCAATAAGATTGTTTACATCCAGTTTCCTGGCACTATGGTCCATTATTTTAGCCAGGAAAATGATGCCATATAATTACATGGAGCAACTCTGAGCTAGAAGCCAAATGGTCTTCATTTTAGTCTCCTAGATCTACCAGAAACTTCTATGCCTATTGAGTGTGCCTCAGTTTCCCTATATCTTACAAGTGTCTAAAATTCCTCAAGTTTCAAGATAATTATTGATCTTAAAAATTTAATTTAAATCCATTGCTTTTTGTTTATGTATGTATTTCTGTGTTTGTATGACTAAAAAACCTTCACAGAGTTCAAAATAAAAATTTCTAAGGAATTCAACAGTAGAAACTCCTCCCCACCTTGTCTGATCTCTGATTCTCACTCTGTCCCCTATGTGATAGAGCATCCAATCAAGTATTAACATGGATTTCTACTCAGGGCTTCCTTTCCTAAAAATAAATCTTTGTTTATTCAAAATATTTTACTTTTTAAGTTTTGCTTTATAATTTCTTGGATAGTCTTGCACGTTAATTTTAAAGAAATCCCCCATCCTTGTTTTTAAATTTTTTTGACAATTTCATACATGAGTACTATATTTTAATCACCCAACTCCACGCTCTCCCCCTCCAACTCTTCCCTATGCACCCCCCCAACTCCCAACTTCTCAACTTTGTGACCTCTTCCTTGACTAATATTGGTACACACACACACACACACACATGCACGCATACACCCATGCACCCACACATTCACACACACAGACACATATAATATACTGAGTCCATTTGGTGGTGCTCACATGTAATTTGCTAATGGATGACCACTTGGAACATAATAGTGTATCAGGGAGTTTGTCCCTGGAAAAAACTGAATCTACCTCCGTCAGCATCCATTGATGGCCTGTAGCTTTTCATCTAGAGGTGGGGCCTTGTGAAGTTTCCCCCACCCACATCGGCATGTCAACTGGTGTTTACATTAGGCAGGTCTTGTGTAGGCAGCCATATTACTGAGATTTCACAGGTGCAGCTTCACTGTCACATCTAAAATACACTAGCACCAGGAGTCCTGGTCCTTGGGTTCTTACAATCTTTCTGCCCACTGCTTCTGCAATGTTCTCTGGGCCCTAGGTGTATGATTTGCCTTGTAGAAGTTTCAGTTGTGGCAAGACACCCCATAATCTCTTATTCTCTGCATTTTGACCAACTGTGGAACTTCGTAATAGTCCCTCTTCTTTCAGGATTGCTCAGGTTCTTTTCCTCCCCCTCCCCATCCCCCCTTCTCCTCCTCCTCTGATTCTTTTTTGTTGTAGGGTCTGTGTATTTTCCTGCCTCTACCTCCTAAACTTGGATTACAGGTGTGCCTTGGCATTTTCTTTCTGTGTAAGTACTACTCTATAGTCTGCTTCAGGTGGCTATGTGGGTTCTTTCCTACCTTGCGATTACAGAGATGCTGTGAGGAAGAGCTTTATCCATTTGTTGCTTCCTATGTGTTCTGTATAACCAGAAGGAAGTTTCCCACAGTGGAATTTCTGGAAATACAAAGGGCAGATGTAGGTGCTAATTTGATAGAGGCCTTCAGCTTGCCCTCCACATTGCTATTCATGCTGTTTTCATACCATCTTCAAAGAACAGCAGTGACACTTTCCCATAGGCTCACCCACAGATTTGGATTTCTTCCAATCCGAGAAGGGAGAAGTTGAGTCTGAGTAATTTAAATTCACATTTCATTTTATGATGTTAAGAACATAAGCAATCTTTGATTTGTTTAAGACTCGTTCATCTTTCCTTTTTCTACATATCCGCTCTTGGAGTTTTCTGCCATTGGGCTGATGGCTTTCTTTTTTCCTTACTATTGTTAGGAATTATTTATATCTTAGGTGGGGTTAGCACTTATGTATAATATGAAATGTAGATATTCCTAAATTGTCATTTGTCTTTTGACTTTGCTTGTTGTAGTATGGCTATGTGAAAACTGAAATAAAATTTGACTATTGACTATTTTGGTATCTAGTTTGGGAGTTTTAAGTATGAAGGACCCCTTAACCTCATAATGCAAAGTGATTCTTATATTAGCTCCTTCGAGGTTTTTATAAATTCATTTTGCACATTTACAACATATATATATATATATATATATATATGGAGAGAGAGAGAGAGAGAGAGAGAGAGAGAGAGATCAGTCTGCCCTTGAGCTCCCAGAGATCCACTCCCTCTGCTTCCCCAGTGTTGGGATTAAAGACATGTATCACCACAACACAACTTTTAGTTGAAATCAAACAGGCTCAGGGAATGTGACTTTCAGACTGCATGTGTGTGATCTTGCTACCAAAAGACATGTGACATCAAACCATGGAGCCTGTGTTTGGTATTTTCTGCATGGTCTTTGCACAGATAGACTAATATTTACACTAGAATGAACATCAACTAACCTTTCTTCTGATTTTTCACTTAGATTTTTCTCCTGTTTTAATTGTGTTTGACACAATTTACAGACAGTATTTTCTTTTAATTTTTTTAAAAATTTATTTTCATTTTATGTGTATGAGTGTATTGCCTGCATTTATCTAAGTGTACCCACATTGTACAATGCTCTTGGAGGTTAGAAGAGAGTGTCAGATTCCCCTGGAGCTGAAGTTACAGTTGTTAGCTACTATGTGGGTGTTGGGAATCAACCTGGGTCCTCTGCAAGAACAATCATTGCTCTTAACAGCTGAATCATCTCTTCAGCCCCTCAGAAAATTTTTTCTTCTAACTGCCACTATGGCAGTGTACAGAAAGCTTTACAAATATGCTCTAAGCCATTGTATTCAAAGTGAGGTCCATGAATTGGTGTGGCTCATAAAAAGTACAGGAATGAAGATATAAGCATAGAAAATAAAACTTTCATAGGAGTTTGATATTGTTGCCTTAGGCAATGGTGTGTTTAGCACTGGTATGTGAAGGACTAGAAATGAAACTAACCAATGAACCAAAAATTATTTGAACAGTCTCTCACCATCCATGTTTGAGAAACATCAGTCCGACTGACTCCTTGCTCTCTTAAATGTTCATTCATATAATGATGGTTCCCTTAATTAGGGGCCAAAGCTTTTCAATCATTAGCTTTTATTTTTTTTTAATCAGGAGCCCTTACATTGTCATGTTTCAAACTCATGAAGACTTTTACTACCTGCACTTAAAATAAACTATAACATATATTAGATGGTTTATATTACAATAGAGAATTCTGCGAAATAAGGAATTTGAAATCAATTAACAATTGGAAACTTTTTCATGGGTAAGAACAAAAACATAACATTTGATATAAATCTACATTTACTGAATTGATTTCCTTGTTTCTTACAATTAGTTACATCTTAACTATGAGAAAAGTGTGTTTATCTACTTGATTTATACCTCTTGGTGCCTCTTTTTGTCAATGTTGATCACAATAAATTTTATATTTATTAATTGTATACATTTGTAGGATGCAGTCTGATAATTCAGTATAGGCATATGATATATATTGATAAAATCAGAGTACTTAGTTTTCTTATCTACCTAAATATTAAACAAATTATTAACCCATAATTAAACATATTTATGGGAGGTATTGTGAGATTGATATGTATGTTAATTAAATGATGCTTTATGTTTCATCTTCTTATTGTTATTTTGTATTTGGAGCCTCATTAAGAGGTACAGATCAAAGGAGGGCATGGTAGAGCAGGTCTTTAATCCCAGCCCTCAGGAAGCAGAGGTAGACGGAGCTCAGTGAGAAACCCCAGGAGACCAAGGCAGAAGATCAGGAATTCCAGGCCAGCCTGGACTACATAATAAGACCCTGTCTCAAAATATAGATAAATAGACAGGCAGGGAGATAGATAAGCAGACAGATTAGACAAAGGGTTACAAAATCATAATGCTGCCTACAAGGGATTTACTTCACCGTTAAAGATCTATATACACTGAAAGAATGAAAAAAATCTATTCTATGCAAATGAGAAGCAAAACCAAGCACTGATTTTTGAACTGTCCAGTAAAAAGCTATAATTCAAGGCAATGTAAGAGACTCAAGCAGAGGAACTAGTTGGTGATTAAACTGCTACTAACCAGTTTTATTGTAACCTACTTTCTTACCTTTGATAAGCATATAAAAATTCTTCAGTCATTATCAAAATTTCCTTTTTTCCTTATACATACAATTCTGCAAATCATTCAATTACTTTACATCAGCAATAGGCTCAAACTATTCTGACAAGCTTTGGCCAGAAAAAAAAGCACTGTTCTGTGAACCTGAATGTGAAGAAATTGAGCTGGACTATTGGATATAAATGATGTGGCACCTAAAAGAATGGACCTAGTATGGCTTCATGCCATCATGTTTTAGTAAAAGGCCAGTCACATTTACCTTTCAGTTCAATAGTAAATTTGCTAACATTGGTAATATAGTCAGACACTAATCCAACTTCTTGGCCATCTGCCCAATTTTCATGGGATGAAGATAGACCATTCTGCCCCCACCCCCTTCTTCCCAGTCAGTGCCAATTGCTTTACTTAGAATTTCACTCATAATTTTCTTCTTTCAGAAAGCATGGCCACTCAGGGTCCCTTCTTTTCACTGGCCAACTCATTTGCTCATCTTTATCTGAGTCACACAGTTTTTTTTCAATCTGTTACATTTAACCCTTCTCAAGCTATATTTATTTCCTTTGTCTCCTTAATAGACTAGATGAAGCTAAAAAAGAATCGTACAACTTTTTAATCACCCAGTAAGGAGAAGGAATGGCCTTTGTTAGTTAGGCAACATATTTTCTACTATATTTGTTCCCCCAGTCATCTAAATACTGCTTCGTGATCAGAAATTCAGTAGGAGCAGACTTTAGGGTCACAGTCAAGCTTTTGGTGGATCATGTTTTCATTTTGACAGTTGGTACCCAAGGGTACATTTTCCAGCATTTTACTCTAAGTATCCTTATTCTTTCTTCTCTCTAGGTAGAGGTTCAGCTTTATTTCTGACTTGACTTGATTTTCTGTGTCTATATATATATATATATATATATATATGTGTGTGTATGTATGTGTATATATATATATATACTTTTTATGTGTATGAATGTTTTGTCTGCATATATAATATATATAAGTGCACCCATGTGTGCAATGCCTGTAGAGTCCAGAAGAGGGTGTTGAATCCCCTGAACCTGTAGTTACAGATGGTTGTTAGCAGCCGTGTGGGTGCTGGAATTGAACCCAGGTCTTCTTCAAGAGCAACCAGTTCTTTTACACAGCCCCTGCTGTGTTTACTTTCTAAGGATCCGTTTGAGAGTAACAACTGGGTAGTGGAATGGAGAGTTAAGTGAAATGAATGAGCCAAGGTGAGTTTACTCCTCACTCCTGGAATGAAGATTTCTTTGGCTCCTTGACCTTCTGTGGAAGACTTTACATGTCTTTAATGTCTGGTTGTTATCTTCTGTTTCTCTCTCTCCTTCCATGGTGAGAGTCTTAAAATAGATACTTAAAAAGAAGCTTAGATAATTGCTTGCTTGGTTAGCATCTGAGATTTGACAATGCTATCTTCAACTTTATCAATGATGCTATTCTCATTATTTATGACTTTCACAAAAATCTGTACTTTAAAATTGTTTTCTATGCACAAATTAAAAGAGCTGACCTTATCTCCTAGATGGCAAAATATATGATGCTTTTGTGTCTTACCTGAAAGACTGTCATCAAGAGAATGGAGAAGAACATACTTTTGCTGTGCAGACTTTACCCAGGGTCTTGGAAAAACAATTTGGGTACAAGCTATGCATATTTGAAAGAGATGTAATGCCTGGAGGAGGTAAGGAAGGGAATGCTAGACAGACAGTTTCTAAATGAGTTGATGAATGATCCCGTAGCCTTAAAAATAAACAAATGGCCCAGTCCTGGAAACCAGAAATAACCAGTCCAGTCAATGGTTAGTTATTAGTTAACCATGTCAGTCTGGTTAATAAATGTCTCATTATCACACAGTGACCGATAGTGAGAAAATGACCCCAGCCTTTCCTCTTGGACCCTCTTCATTCTGCACAGGTTTTCCACATTCAGAACCAAGTATAGGATGGCACAGTCATGAGGCATATTCTAGACATGATCCATAGTAAGAGTATTGTTTCAAAGAATCATTTCATTATTTAATATATGATTTTGGTCTAGGATACTGGGTAATTATTAGGAAACACCAATTCTTTGTGACACTGATACTGCAGACAAAATTAAATAATTTTAAGATTTGGAAAAGCTTAGTAAAAAGGAAATTATTGGAAATGTTGATCAGCTATGAACTTAGACTTTAAAAACTAATATATAACTCTAATTAGTCATATCGCATGCAGGCAAACTATAGTTAAAAATCAAAGAAATTTAGCCACATCATCATGTCTTTTCTTGAGACCTATTGTGAAATTATTTGGATATTGATGCTAATAGAAAAATACAAATTAGGGGCCCAATAGATGAAAAGCTTGCCAGAGAAGCATGGGGCCTGGAGCTCAGATTCCCAGCACTCACATAAAAACCAGTTGCCATGCAGCTCCTCCGTAATCCCACAACTTGGGCAGTCGAGGATCCCTAGGGCAAGCTGACTAGCTTGACTTGCTGGAACTGGCAGCTTTGGGATCAGCAAGACACCTTGCCTCAGTAAATATAGTGGAGAGCAATTGAGAAAGACCATTGGAGTCAACCTCTGGCCTCTATGTCCATGTACATACATGTGCATGTACATCTATATTCATGTACACACATGTGAATGTACATTCACATAGGCACCATGCACATATATAAACACAAAATAAATAAATATGCAAGTATCTGAGTATGGTGGTGTACACCTGCAATCCCAGTGCTAGGGAAGCTGAGGTAAGAGGGCTGTTAGTTTGAGAAAAGCTTGGGTTATACAGAGAGTTCTAGGCCAGCCTGAACTACAGACCAAGAAATGCTTTAAAACAAAACAAAACAAAACAACAACAACAACAACAAAAGGGGAGGAAAATGAAAAGGAGGAGGAGGAGGAGGGGGAGGAGGAAGAGGAGGACACAAGAAAGAAAAGATAAATAGCTTTGTTGTTATTATTTTCCTCCACTGATCCATTACTTAGATGCCAGGCAGTAAATACAGCAGTAAATAAGAAATAGTTGTGTGTTCCCTCCTACATTACACACTAGAAAAGGGAAATACCATTAAGTGGAAAGACTAACTACAGTACAGTTTAATGATAAACACCTTTTCAGGAGGTGCAACCTATGTAGTTGTGACATGCATGCTAACCTAGAATGTTGTTCGGCAATTCTTTGTATCCAGAAGGTGCATCATTATTTCAAAAGCATGTGCCCATAGATTTACTTCAGTTTTAGTATACTTCCATTGTATTCTGGGGATCTTTTTTTAAAAATGAATTTTGGGGCTGGAGAGATGGCTCAGTGATTAAGAACACTGACTGTTCTTGCAGAAGACCCGGGTTCAAATCCCAGCACCCACATGGCAGCTAATAACTGTCTGTAACTCCAGTTCCAGGGGATCCGACAGCCTCTTCTGTCTTCCTCGGGCATTGCACAACACACAGGTGCACTTAGCCTACATGCAGGCAATACATGCATATACATAAAATAAAAATAATAAATAAATTAAGAACACTGACTGTTCTTGCAGAAGACCCGGGTTCAAATCCCAGCACCCACATGGCAGCTAATAACTGTCTGTAACTCCAGTTCCAGGGGATCCGACAGCCTCTTCTGTCTTCCTCGGGCATTGCACAACACACAGGTGCACTTAGCCTACATGCAGGCAATACATGCATATACATAAAATAAAAATAATAAATAAAAAATAAAATAAAATATGTTGAATTGTAATTAGTTTTGGTTGAACTCTTTCGGATCTAGAACAAGGCTTGAGTCTGTGACTAGCTCCATTTTCTAAATCACAAGCACACACACATTCATTTACACATTATCTCTGGGAGCTTTTGAGGTAAGAAGGCAGAATAATGGTTAGAAAAAAAGACAGGATGACCAGCTCAGCCTGACATATATTTTACCTGGTCCTTTGGAGAAAAATTTACCTACCTATGTCTAACATAATGGCTGGTTTTGGTTATTTTATTTTATTTTATTTTATTTCTTATTTGTTTTTAAATTCTTAACTGTCCTCCATAAGTTGGAAGAGGCAAGATAGTACATTGTTATGATGATGCGCTTTGTCTGGGCTCAGTTTCTGGGTGTCACTTACTAGCTGTGTGACTCCAGACAATTTTCTTCATTGCTCTGTGGTTTAGCAAAATGACAATGACAGCAGTTCCTTTCAGAGGATCGTTGAAATGCTTAAACGAGTCGATATATATCAGATCTTAAAGAAGTGTATGTAGGCAAATGCCAGGTGGGTGCTCAACTATTACTGCTACCTAAGTGATTGTTTTGAGAGGTGTATAAAATGGAGAAAAATGGCTTATTTTAAAGAAAACCTTGTTGGTACAACCAGAAGTAAGATATCATAACACAAGAGAGTATGTAATATTTATTTTTTCCTCCATGCCCACCTTCTCTGTCCTCTGAAATTGATGACCTATTTTTCACTTTCAGCTGTGGTTGATGAAGTCCATTCACTCATAGAGAAAAGCCGAAGACTCATCATTGTCTTAAGCAAAAGTTACATGACCAATGAATCCAGGTTTGAACTTGAAAGTGGACTCCACAAAGCTCTGGTGGAAAGGAAAATTAAAATAATCATAATCGAGTTTATGCCTGTCAGTGACTTGACTTTACTGCCTCAATCACTAAAGCTTCTGAAGTCGTACAGAGTTCTGAAGTGGAAGACTAATGAATCTCTTTCTTATAATTCACGGTTCTGGAAAAATCTTCTATATTTGATGCCTGCAAAAGCCAAACCAGATGGGGGAGACTCTGAAACTTTACCAGTTCTCTCAGTACCTTGATATTTACAAAATCTTCCTGTAAGAAAGACCTGAAGCTATTATAGAGGCTGAGGTTGCGTGCCTGGTCAAAAAAGAGACAGTCTTTCAAAACACTGAATTCTGTGAAAATCCTACTAGCAGTTAGAAGATGAGACAAAACCTTGAGTTCTGGTCATGAGCTCCCAGTAGACCTTGGAATTCATAAGAAAAGGAACTGCTATTCTCTCTTCCTCCATAGCCATCTGGATACTAACTCCACATTCAGCAAGGATGGGGTTAGACAGAATGCAACGGACTTATGCTTCACAAAAAGGCACTCTTAGGACATTTTCAATGATAAAAGTTAATTAGAACTGGAGGATTTTAAGTGCACAAGGAGGCATTTTCTATGAACCAGTGGACAGCAGTCTCAGGAATACTGACTTCATTATAGCCCAAGAGCAACATAGTTCTCTTCTATGTGGTTTGGGAGATGGAAGGAGAGGGCTGGAAGGGCTGCCTGCAGAACAGGGAAATGAGGTTGAGAGAGGGCTGCAGGGATGGGCTTCTGGATGCATCAACTGCTGCAAGGCAATAGTTCTAGGAAGCTCAGGGAGGCATCATGCAGAACATGCTTATTCATTATTTAGACCTTTTCATAGGACCTTTTAAAAGGGAACCCTGAATATCTTTGCGTCCTGCACAATAGACAAAAATTTTAAATTCAAATCATTCATAGGACTTTTCCATTTTTATGGCTTAAAGCACTTTTTGATTTTATGTGAATGTTTATAGCTAGGATATTAGCCAGTAAACAGCAGCAAATAGACAATAATAGTTACTTGTTCACTATTTTATTACGTGTTTAAAATTCCCTTACTTAGAGGGGTAATTTAGCATGGTGGATGAGGGTGTGCGTTATCCTTCCTTCTGTGATCTCTGGAATCCTATCTAACCTCTCTGTGCCTCAGTTTCCTCATTTCTCAAATCAGAACTTATAACAAGTATACCTGCTTCACAGGGAAACTAAATAAACAGATAAAAGTAAACTGTTACAGCAATGCTTGGCACAGACTTACCATTCTGTAAGTTGCTCTTACTGGTAGTATTATTATTGCCATTATTCGCTATTACTTTGCTCAGTTGTTTAACAGTGGACCAAATGGAAGTCACAGAGCAGGAATGGAAGCAGATCTGGGAAGGGAAGCTTTGAAATGAGTTGCAAATAGAGGTATACAGGAGAGGCACAGCAACATGGAAAAGGGTATTTCCTGTTGACAGTACCCTGAGGCTTTCTCCACTTCCCAGTACAACGGCTGTCTGTGGAAACTGCTGAAGGGTAAAAGAGGAACTTACAGAGGAAGGAAGATTCAGGGAAGTCCAAAGCTGCCTATTTGCAAGCCTGCCAGAATGCAGGGGTGTAGAGTGAATGTCCCAGAAAATTTAAAGCAGAGTTGTCTAGAACAGGTATAGCAGATTTTTCTGAAAAAGTCAAGAAGAATGAGGATTCTCAAATAAGAAAGTGCTTTAATTTCTGTAGCTCATGACTTCATGGGCTAATTGGCTGGCTTTAAAAAGAGGAATTCAACAAATGCTTTATGTTCTGTGTGTGAAAATACTTTCTCAGCAGAAATTGTATTGCTATAATAGTTTTTAATAAATAGAATGACTTCGTTTCTTTCTTTCATTACCCATGCTTTAAAACACATGAAATGTACTTTGTATGAAGTATGTTTTACATCAAAGCTATTAAATGTATACATTAGGTATGTGCTTCAAAGACAACCCTCAAATACATTGGAATACAGTAGTGAACTGTTAGTGTTCTGCCTTCTTATTTGAAATGTCTCTCCACTTACATTTCACTTTAAGATTTGAATAGCTCAATCTCAACCTAGATTTCCAACTGTTTTAATAAGGGACTTTCAACATGAACTCCTAAAGCTATTATTTTTTAAATGTCAAGTTACTTTGTGTATAACTTTTAAAAAATTATACTTTGAGAATTTCATCCATGTATAGAGTGAAATGTGCTCCTCTCCCCTCCCTTTTCACCTCTCCACCTCCATTCCATCTGTGTCCTCCACTATATCTCCCAACACAATTTATAGCCTCTTTTTAAAATTTTTATTTATTTAATAACCACATGATTAGAGGAAGCATTTCATTACAGTGTTAACATATTCAATAAAAATTTCCAGAGCAAAGATACATCTCTTTCAAAAGTAGCTGTAAATTTTTAGGTTCACAGTTGAATTAATACAATTATACAATACTGAACTTAGTAGAAACTCTGTAAGACATAAAATTGAGTTTTTAACCTTTAAAAAAAGATCTCAATTTCATTTTAAAATAAACTGTTTCCTACAGAAAGACTCATTTTTAATACTACTAACACTTAGATGTTTGCACATATGTCTCTAATCTATGTATCTGATTATTACTAATCACAGATGGTTACACTCGGATCCTTGGCACCTGAGTATGGATATAAAGTAATCAGGTAGATTTCAATGGTATAATGTTTATCACCTCTCCTAATTAACATGAAGTAAATTTTTATGCTTCCTCCTCAAATATAACTCATTTTTTTATTTGTTGATTTTTATGTGTATATCATACAGAACATCCCAAACAATCTTATTCATTTATATACGCACTTTCAAAATTGCACCCTCCCAGAGGGACCCCCCCCTCACTGGAGCCCATATACTCTGTCATCCCTGTTACTGTCCACTGTGTTGGCAGTGCCCCCAGCCATTCCCCAGTGCTTGTCCATCTACTGGATCTAGTCAGCCTACCTAGAGATCCTTATTTTAGGAAGATCAGCTGTTCCTCAACTAGCAACAATTAGTTGTCAATATTCCTTTAGATAAGATTGGGGTCTGCTGTTCTATGCTGGGTTACTGTCTGGGAGCCTCTTGGGCCACCCTGGCCAACAACTCAAAAGAAGATATGTCCTGTCTGGCATTGTTTCTTGTTATGTAGCCTTTAGCTGTACATATGGATTCTTAAAAAATTATATTGACCCCTTTAATCTTTGGTTATACTTTCCTCTTGGGAGTTTAAGACCCTACAGTTGGCCCAGATAAACCAATTTATTTTTACTCTTAAGGCTGTTTGAGGATCTGCTCCTCAGGGGTCACATGGGCTCGGGAAGAGCCCCTGGCTCCTTTTACCAGTTCCACCTATGTGAAGTTAAGTCAAAGGTCCTATTCGACCATGGCTGGCTTCGCTTGGGAGCACGGAGGAAATGTTTCCTCTGTGTTGACCCTCCTCTTTGTAGACTGGGCACTGGTTCAAGTCCATCTGGTGATGTCTCCACCGCCTCCTTGATCAAGAGGACAGGGGACTCACCACAGTTACAGGACATTTTGAGAGATATGCTTAGTCCCCTGGAACTTAGTCGACCTAGGAGGGCAAGGAACAAAAACTGTAATTTATATCCCTCTGACCAAATTAGTATAGGCCTGAAAGTATGGCTGTTAAATGTCCAAGAAGGTAAGCTCCACAAGTCTGGTACTTTTAATTACCATGTGCTATGTAGATAAATCTTGGGCCAAGACCAAACGATCTCAGATAAACCTTGCCTAGACATATATTATATTCTTTGATCTAGTTGTATGTACAATTTGTCAGTAGGTTGTTGGACTAATATGGTTCCCTCTGTTTTTTTAAAAACTAGTTAGGCATTATTTACCTCTCGTATTGTCTAACCCACGATGGTTTCCCCATTTAAGGTGCCCCCATTTTTTCCATTTCTCCCTTAATAATATCCTTCTCCTATGGTTCCACCTCTCTTGAGCTCCTTCTTTCCTTTTACCCCCTAGGTTCGTTGTATAATCTTCCCTCCCCCCTCCCCTTAAAATAACCCCATTTTTATCTGTATCTCCCTTATTAACGCCTGTTTCCTATTCTTCTTCTCTTTCAGATTCTTTCTTTTCCTTTACCTCCCTGGTTCCTTTTCATTATACTGGTTCTTGTAGTTATGTCTGGATACATAATCACTTATCAGGGTTTGGTGCTAGGATCCACATATGAGGGAAAACATATGTTGGGTTTTTTTTGTTTTTGTTTTTTTTCTGAGTCTGTGTAACTTCACTTAGTATAAGTTTCTAGTTCCATCCATTTACCTGCAAACTTCATGATTTCATCTTTCTTTACTGCTGAGTAAAACTCCATCATATAAATGAACCACATTTTCATTATTCACTTGTCAGTTGAGGGACATTTAGGTTCCTTATTCTCTTAGCTATTGTGAAAAGAGCAGCAACATGGATGTACATGTGTCTCTGCAATAGGATGAGTTCTTTGGGTATATGCCAAGGAGTGGTATAACTGAGTCAAAAAGGTAGGTTCATCTGTAGTTTTGTAAGAGTTCTCCACACTGCTTTCCATAGGGG